TTATTTCATATATTATTATAACGAACACACAACAAACTATTTAATATTAGTCAATTTTTTCATCGAACCACAGGTGCATAACAAATTGAAGTTAAACGCCCCTGTAGTGTGAAATGTGTATAAAACATTTTATATTAGTGTATAATATAGTAACCAATTACTGAATTACTGCAATAATTAATCTGTGGAACGACCAATACATATATTTTGCATTTATTTTATTTGACGTAGGTACGGCCGTGAACATTATCACTACATTGTCCACATTAAACGCTGTTGAGCGTGTCTAGAAACTGAAAATCCACGTTGAGTTCCACATTAATCATACGCACCATACACATCAATGTATATACAGAGTGATTATTTATGCCTGATCACCCTTATTTTCCTTTTAATAATTAATTTAAACAAACTATGATTTTTAAAATGTTTAAATTAATCTAAAGTAGATATACTTAAAGAGCATATTTTTAAATACTTAGTTTTGTTTTTTTTTTTTTTTTAATCCATTTAAAAAAAGTCCAGTACTTCCGTGATAACACCAACTTATTTGTTCAAAAGAGTATCGCTCAGTATATCTACCTATCCAAAGGCATAATGATATTATACACTAGTATACACTCGTGATTTTGCAGATTATATATTTAGACGATATGAATACGTAATTTATTTCGTTAGAGTACAATTTATTTTACCTAACCATAAGTGTTGAAAAGTATTTCCATAAACGTATTTGAATTTTAAATACAAAATAGTATTTAAAACACTTTCCAAATACTTAATTTATAAAGTTCTTTGAATACGTTTACTCGAAGCCAATTATACTTTACAATACGACTGCGTTTGGATAAACCATAAACTATGGGTTTTGTTTACGGTTTCGACTTCACTGTACAGAATAGATCGTCGATTCGATACTACGATTATATAGGTACTCAATAACGCCATAATCATAAGCTGCGTGTACACTATACCTATTACAATAATTCAAGTATTTGACTATTAAGTAGACATACGCAAATTCTGTATAGATAATAGGTAGGTTAGATACCTACACCAATCCGTGCCGATCACCGATAACGATAATATGTCAAATCTTAAGACCCCAGTTGGGTTTCGAAATTCTTATAATAACGAGATTTCGGCTTTAACCACATCATATACCGTAGGCCGAACAAACGTAGATCACGTCGTGCAATTAATTCGAATTGATAGAAAAATCAAAATATCTTTAGAAAGTTGTGGTATAAGTGTGTAACTGCATAAAAGTATACCAATACTACATTTCATAGAGGTTTTATTATACGTAAGTTCCTACGCGTTGTACATTTGCATAATTGCGCCCGTTGTGGCCGTCCGCCGATGTTTTTTTCGTTGTCCTAATTGTTACACACGATATTAATTTTATGAAAATAATTAAAAATATTTTTCAAAGATATTTGAAAATCAAAATAAAATAACGCACACACAATATATTATCGTGTTTACGTTTTAATTAAAAGTTTATTATTAATATTTTACGACATGTTTGTGATTCTATTTTTTAAATGTAATTTTTAACATATTATATTATTACATTGGATTCGATCAATGTCAAAAGGTACATCGTTAGTTATTGATTGTATTTCATAAAACAATATTTATACTGGTTTGTAAATAGGTTTATACTTTATTAATATTATAGCTTACGAGTAATAAAAACTAGAAAACTGAATACTCGTATGTTTGTAAAAGTACTTTTATCTAGTTTTTTTTTTTTTGTATTAAATATTAATGCAATAATTGGTTTTATAAAACTTATTTTAGTTCAAATAAAATCATGCGGTCATAAAATAACAATAAATTACTATAATAATCATAAATTATGTTTGTTTTCTATAAATAGATAATTTGTAATTCGTGACATAAATAGTAGATATAATATCTTCGATCACGTTTATCAAGCTATAATAATATATACACGTAATAATTATTGTATATATTAATACAAACTATAATACGTATAGTATGTAGATAATCAGTTTATGTGAAACATTAAAATATTATAATAATTTAAGATAGATATAGAAAATAAACTTTTCGAAAACTTAATAATAGTAAGAAAAATTTTAGTTGTAAATATTTAGGTTTAACAATTAAAATACATTCAATAACAGTGATGGATGAATTCAAATTAAACTCGTACATGCATTTTATTTTGTTAGAAAAAATATATTTACTGAGTGATTTCTTGACCGTTGTACAGTATATCGTATAATAACAGCCGGAGCATTTATGTTTATGCATTTGAATAATAAATAAATCTAATATTATGTATAATGTTTTGAAAGTTAAAAAACGGTGGATAACATTAATTGACAATATTTTAATAAAGTTTACGTCGTTTACAGTGCGTATAAGATTAGAGTCACAAATATTATGCAAAATCTGATAGATTCTGAAAATGCGAGTCGTTTTTAATAAACATTTAAAAGTTAGAACATACCTAATTTAATATAGAAACACTGACATCGTTGACCGTCTTAAAGATGCTTAAAACATTGTACCAAACTAAATCGATGCCGTCTCTTCTGACACATCTCTCACGAGTCACGAGAGGAGTTTCCGGTGTAATAATATAATGTAATTATCTTATCGATTGATTTTGGGCGTAACAATTTATGCATATATAATGTGAGTCTGTATAATAATATAGCTTCAATATTTCAAAATTACTTTGTAATTATTGACTACTTGTTTGATAGTGGTATAATTATAAGGAGGGATGTAATATTATGAAGCATGTCATAACTCCCAAACCCACGTGACCTTTGTTATGTTTAGTGTAAACGGCGTAATTTTTTTGTTTAAATTAGTAATAAAAATACGTACGTATGAATCGTTTTTTATTGTAGAAAATGTGCAGGATAATGTTTGTTTTTCCGGATGTCTTAGCGTTTTTCTATTTCCACAGTTCTCAGCACAGAAATATAACTAAAAGAATTTTCTTTGTCCTTTAGTATCTTATATCCATTAGGTATGTCATAAGGTCGACATAAGATGAACACAAAGAATCGTGTGATCCATAGTGAATGGATTCATTGGACTCAAGAAAAATATATTATGATATATTAATTTATTGTTATATCTATTTAGTAATAATAAACAACATGTTTTATTACTCGTCTGCTCGTAGTGTGTTGTGTGTACCATCGTCGTGTACGTATATATTTACTCATATATATGACGAATTTAAACAAAACAAAAAAATATTTAACCGGTTACTTTATACCTAATAAATTGTATAATACAGTGAAACCTCTGAATATCGAACAACGGACACTCTCGATCACCGAAATTTTTTGCACTATTCGAAGGTATTCGCTATTTAGAAGAGGTACATTTTAAAAATTCATAAAGGATAAATGTTTAAATGGAAAAACTATACGCTATGCTAAATTTAATTTAAGTGCTATTATATTTAAATTTTTTAATGGTGTATGTGATAATGTATAATATGTATAATAATTAAAAAAGGTATCGGTACATACTTAAATAAAATTAAATTTGATGGAAAAACAATTGGTCAGCTTGGTTTGTTTATTACTATGTTGCATCTGTACAATTTCGTTTATAAGTTCACTAGCCAAAGTTATAGTAAAAGAGAAAATGTTACTGCTTTCTACCTCAATTGGTGATATGAACGATCTACGTCCTTTACAGCAAACCAATGCGTCCTACGTACACTCGTAATGTGAAATTTTTAATTTTAATTTTCCTCTTAAGTCTTATCAAGCCCATCAATGGCCGTCGTTGTCATCATTAGATCGTCGTCGTAAATGGAAACGATTTCGTCCAAAGTAACAAGGAGTTTGCTTCAACACTGCCGTCATTTATATGTTGAGGTGATATAAGTTATTATCTATTTCCGATTTGGTATCGATTACTTGTTAGTCGTATTGACTAAAAATTACATTACAAGAAACACTTTTTTATAGTTTCATAATTGACGTGGGTTTGTGCATAAGTCACCCAATATACTGCGTCCAAAACATTATTAGCGCTAGATTCGCCAGTATCTAAATCAGCAATAACTTTTTCTAGCAGTTGTTTACCATAAAGATTAAATTGTTGGATTTTATTCGTTATAGTCTTATCTTATTGTCTTAAAACTATTTTAAGAAATTTTATTCCGATAAAACACTTTAGTGTTTTTATGTCATCGTTTTGTCATTATTTTTAAATTAAGATTAAAAAATATGTTCACTATTTAAAGAGTTCGCTATTCAGAGGTTTCATACTAAAAATTAATGAAAATGTTCCTATTCCCAAAAAATTGTCCGTTAGTGGGAGATGTCCGCTAGGGAAAGTTTTATTGTATATAAGTTTTTAGTTTTAAATTATTTATACATAGTTAACACATGGTAATTGAATTTTAAAGTAGGTAATTAAATTGGATAAAAACGTTTTCATATTTGAAGTTTAAAACTAAAAATCAAACGCAATAATTGGTATAATTACCGTAAAAAATAGATAGCAAAATTGATATGACACTATCCATAAAATATAAAAAAACATAATAATTGGCACTATAAATTTTTTTCACAATTGGTCATCCAAACTCCGTTTATTGTCCATTGTAAACATTTTACAAATTTCAGATATATTTAATGTATCAATCTTTTTTTGATAAATTATTATTTAATAAAGTTAATACATATATTAATATTTTTAATAGTTATTCGTACGTAATTTTATTTTTATATTCTTACAAATCTACAAATAAGTTTTGAGTTTTGACAAATAATTAGTAGATCACTTACGAGTTACAGACACCTTTATATTAGAGGTTAGGTGTGGTATAAAATAAATTTTCAAATTTTTTAGTTTTTTCTCGATTGAGAATTATTTTGAAATCAAAAATATACAACATATTATTGTATCGTGATAGTATAAACTAATAGCTTATTTTTTATCTGTTAAACCTTTTAAACAAAAAAATTAAAAATATTGATTTTTAAAAACATAATATTATATTGTACAAAGCGCAATAAAGTATTTTCGTAACTCTGCGTTACGAATTTAGAATAGTTTATTCGAACGTTATAAAATAGGAGCGTGTAGCAAACAAATACACGAAAGGAAACTACACGACTAAGATATTGCATAGTAAAATATAAAATATATTATTATAATAACAAATCCGTACGTAAAATATAGTTATGCAACGACTAACGGCGCGTTATACAACATTACATTATAAAACAAAATAAAAACAAAAATAGCAATAAAAACAAACAATAATTTATATGTAAAAAAAAAAAAATCTACAAAACTATAACAATTTCATAAGACTGGGTCATTGTGTTGAAGGTTATATCAAAACTGTAAACTGTACATTTGGCTGTAGGCGTTGTTGTTGCTTCCGCCGCCACCGCTACCGCCGCCGCCGCCGCCGCCGCCGTCGGAGGGTTCGTCGCCCGAGGGTTCCTTGAACGACTCGTCTGCCTCCTCCTCGTCCTGCTCCTGAGCGGAGGAAAATTCATGGGCTCCCAAGCCACCGGACGTGTCCATCGCTAACTTGTAACCCTCGCCGAACCGGTAACCGACGTCTTCCAGCAATAACTCGCCACCCACGTCCTCGTCATCCGTCTGCGCGTCGAACTCGTCCTCGGCATTTGCCGCGGCCACAGCACGTCCGTGTCCGATCACCTTGTTGTATTGCGTCACCGACTGCACACACACAAAAACACAGTACCGACAAATTGTTTTTTTTTTTTTAATTCCCCTCAGTAATTTCTCAGCCTGACGGCCTCGGAGCAAAAACATATTTTAGCTCTAATATAGCATACTAGGACACGTGCATACTAATTCGAAACTTAAAACATTTACTTATAAAAGTTGTAATTAAAAGTACAATTATCGTCCAATCTTTATCCAAAGTAATCTTGTGTATTTTTTATATTTATAATAGTAGGTATTTCATGTATTGTAAGCTAATCGCCTTGACTTAAATGTATTAGCTACCTACTTACAATTTATTTATGTAATATCGTTATAGAGAAAAAACGGTTATTTTATTTATGTAATTTGATTTTGACAAAAACCCGTAGTAAAGTCACTAATTTTACTACCTGTAAATCATTTATTAATATGTACGTTCGAAGAAATTGCCGTTCGTTCTGCGGTAATTTCAATTGTAACCAAAGCCATTAAATGGTTGATCTGTGATTTGATTTTAATGATCGCATCAGAACGTACAAGACATTTTATTTTTACAAGCATAAAAATAAAAAATTTTAACATAGCGTTTACAATATTATTACGATTGTTTTTTGTAATTATTTATTACAGCGGACATTATAACTTACTACCGATTTCTTTTTATATAAATGCAATTTATTGAAACAAATTGAGATTTATAATAGTCTTAAAGAAAATAATTGACGTAATAATTCACACACATTATATCAAAATTCACCATATCATAAAATAATATAATAGTTTATAGTTATTGTTCATTCTACTCACATTATGGAAATATTGTTTTTTTTTTTTTAATAATATGTTCAATGTTCATTGACTATCGTTATTCAGAATTTACTTTGAGTTCGACGAAAGACATTTTGTCAGTCAAAAGTTTACAGTGATTATTTAAATTGTTTGCTCATGAGTTTATTTCTAGAAATTATTATACATTTAAAGTTGAAATTATCCATAATTATTCGTCAGACATATTGATTTTGAAATAATAAATTTATTTATATTCAGTATTTTACTAGGTACACCGGATTTAGAATATTCACGATTGTTAATAATATTAATATAATATATCAATAATTATTCTAAAATATTTAAAAAATTGAAAAAGTTAATTATAATTATGTAACGATATTGCCAACAGGCTTTGTGTTCTCCTTAAAAATCTTTCATAACCAATGGATGCTACGTTTAAATTATTTCACTACTTGCAGGAAGAATTTTACTTAATTTACAGAGCTTAACAAAAAAATTGTGTTAAAAAAAATTTTGAATTTTTATAAAATAGGTATATTTTAATTATGTTTACATTTACGTCTGTAATTATTGTTCGTATAACTTACTGTAAAAGCATTTTAATTTGAATTTCAAATATTTGTTGTTACGCTGCTATGGTAAAATAGGCACGTATGCGGTATATCGGACTGAATAAATAATCAATAATTATTATTAAATAATTTAAAGCTATTAATAGTGATCTAATAGTCCCTTAAACATGACTTAGCGGTCCATGGTTGATTCATTTAATTTTAATGATCTACTAAACCACTAAATTAATCAATTTTTTATGCAACCCGTGGAAATAATATTTTAAAATATTTATTCTAAGTGCTAACAAGCATAATCATAATCTCTATCTAACACGTCCTTGGTGTAAATAGCAGTATGCAGCTATTTTTCTAACGACCCGAGCAATCATTTTGCACTGGTACATGTGTGTATTATATTATACATTTATACAGTGATGCGAGAGTTACATTCGTGCAGGCTGGCTTACAAAAATTGGTCGTGTCGGAATGCGTATTTGAAATTTTATTTACAGGAAATCACACACACACGTGACTTGTGGGCTTTCTTATAAATTACACTGTTGGAATCTCAAACGTCGTGTCCAAGTCGACTATTTGCTCCGTCCAAACGCGTATAGCAAACGCGTTTGTTATAAGGTATAAGTTCTATGAGCGTCTGGGATAATAACACAACAAAAACAACAAAAAATTGGTTGTAAAATATTTTACTGTATGAAACAAAAAAGAGCCAGCTAGCAATATTATTGTACAGTATGCAGTGTATATTATAATGTCAAGTAAACGTATAGATATTTATTATTATGTCATCGGCCTATTTGAATCTATGCTCTATGTATGGTACAAAATCTACATTTTTTTTTTATGCAATCTCTTCTGTCACGGATTATGCGATATCTGAAAGCTGTGCGTAGAATGGCTTGGAAAACGTGTGGTAAACGAATTTGGCGTACGCTGAAAGAAAAACAAAATTAACTAGACAACCGCAAATACTACAGAGAAATAATAAACCTTTAAGTGTAAATTAATTTAATGCGTACGGCCAATAGGTAACGTTTAATGTTATTGCGCGTTTTTAAAAGGTTTTGTCGTAACAATATACAACTTAACAGTAAACATTTATTATACAATGAATTGCACCGCACACGTGAAATAAGTATAATAAAGTTTGTGAATGTCGTATAATATATATATGTGTATATATTTAAAAAAAATCTGATTTGAATACTAAGTAATATATCTGCAAGGATAACAAAACATTAAGATCGGTCATAATCAAGATTTTTTTAGCTCTACGGCTGCGGCCATGAGGAAAACGAATAAATAATATTTTTTACATAATATAATAGGCTTTTACTATAGTACCTATCTAATACAAACTATATTATATCATGCACAGATATACATATTGTCTAATATATATCTTAGGCATAAGACATTTATGTGTAGTGTGTACTATACCTATACCTATATATTATATTGTTGCTGAGATTATTATAATACATGAAAAACGAGACTTTAGATAGTCGCCAAAATGATAATAATATAATGTGCTTGTGCAGTGTATGTACATATATTTTATTTGTGGGTGCGTGTGTCTAGGAAAATTGGATACTTAAAATTCGTTTAGTAGGTCGCATACCATTACTATAACTATAATATACATCATCATAACTGAGAATATACCCTAACAATATTTTTAATAGGTTATTATTGTTATTAACACTATTAAATGTAAATGCGCATCATATAATTATCATAAAGGTACACGTTCAGCCGGAAGGCATCAAGTAATAATTTTTGAAAAAAAAAAAAATAGATACCTTGAATATAAGTAATAACACTTGATTTCTAAAACTTATTAAAAATTAATAATCGAAAATTCAGTTATGGCTGTAGTATAATATAGATATATATGAATCCAAAAATATTAAAAGTAGTGTATTCGATTCAATGTTGGTTTTTTTCTTCTTCAATATATATAAAAAAAAAGACTTAACGCCTTTTTAAAAAATATCTGCCAATTTATAAATTTTCGCTACAAATATATGCGGGTGTTTTTCTTGTAAAAATCCTAACCATAGGATTATAGGAATCAAACGCGTAAAGTGTTTTTTTTTGACAGCATGTACGGAATGATTCATTTAAAATAAGGCACTCGTTATTTCAGAAAACACTATTCTCGTTTTAAGAATAATTATTTTGCACAATAATTTTATGTCGTTACAAAACAAAGTTTTTAGACAAAAATTACATTTTTTACTATTTTTCTATTTTTCATCGTCGTCTTTTTTTAAGTTTTTTACACTTTTGAATAATAGTATACGGTTTTTTTTTCTATGGTTTAATTTTTATCAATCGAAGTAGTCCAAAAAATATTTTGCTCGGGAATAAAGAATCAAAAATGCATGTCTCAGCTAAAAAAATAAAAACAAAAACCAAAAGCGATAACGATAAAAAAAAAAAATAATAGAGCACGCGTTTATTTCTAGAAAAATGTCGTTAAAATTATAGAAATCAAAAAGTTTTATTCTGTTACTTTCGAATAACGAGCGTCTTACGTTTAAACGGATCATTTCGACAGGCAGTGTAAGTGATTGACACGGCCACTGTTGTCGCGCGACAACAGCGATGAGCGGTCCATAAATTCATCTCAAGCAAACGCGTAACTCACCTTGAAATTGGCGGTGACCGGCTGATGCTTTTCGCTGGTCTGCAGTTTGGCCACGTTGTTGACCAAGTCGATGTCCACGTGCTTGATCACGTTGGGCTCTTGGTGATCGGGCACCCTCAAGTGTATCACGTTGTACGCGGGCGGCGACGCGCTACGGCCACCGCCGCTCTCGTCGTCGTCGTAATCCGCGTACTGCTGCTGCTGCTGCTGCTGATGCTGATGCTGCTGATGCTGAAGCTGCTGCTGCTGTTGGTGTTGGTGTTGATTCCGTTGCTGCTGCTGCTGATGCTGTTGGTGTTGGACGACCGCGTTGTGCTGCACGAACTGTTGGATCTCGGCGGGCATGAACGAGCCCAGGCCCCGCGGCTTGGACGACGGCACGAACTGTATGCGACCGCCGGACGCGGGCCTGCGTCCGCCGGCCTGCAGCACGCCACTACTGCCGCCCGCGGCGCCGTGCTGCTGCACCAGATAGTCGCCGGTCTGCAGCAGCTGCTGCTGGTGCTGCAGGTGCAGCTGGTGCGCGGCGTTGTGCAGCAGCATGTTCTGGCGGTGGTGGTCGAACGGCGGCTGCTTGACCAGCTTGTGCCCGGCGACGCCCACTTTGCCGAAGTGTTTGTGGCCCACGTACCCGATGTGCTTGTGCTGGTGGCCGTACGCGCCGGCGTGCTTGTGACTGTGCGCCGATTTGCCCACGTGCCCGTGCTCGTGCGCCACCTTGCCGCTGTGCTTGTGGTCGTGCACCACTTTGCCCGAGTGGATCAGCGGAATGCCCTTGCCGGCCAGCTTGTACGTGTGCACGTGGTTCACGTGCTGCGGCACTTCTTTGGGCACCACGATGATGATCCTGTGGTGTCTGCACAGAACAACGACAGGACGCATTCGATTATCGTACAATGGATTTAATGCGTTTAGGGCAGTGGTCGGCAATAGGCGGCCCGTGAAGGAAAAATAATTGGACCACAAAAAATATTTATTTTTTTAATAATGCTGGTTTTCCACACATACCTAATATATATTTTATCTATTTTATGATGTATTTAGAGATTACGATGATGGCGTTTATCGTTTATTACTATTTACAATGATAGCTGCGATAGCACAACAATTATTAACTAATATCTGAGTTTTTAGTTTTTACTGGCCCTCAACATTTTTTTATTTTTTTATTTTCTGGACCTCCATAGAATTTAATTGCCGACCCCTGGTTTAGGGTGTGGGACGCGTTTGCACATCGCCGTTGTTGCCAATCAATCAATATCTCACCAAATGCAATGAAAGGCAACTTAAATGCACGCTTTTAATGTAATCCGTACTGGAATTACGGAGTAGTAATTTATTTTTACTCGTTGAACTGTACTATTTCCGAGTATTAATGTGCTTATAGATTTCAAGACCTAAACGTGCGATTGAATACACCAGGGATCAAAGTGTGTTACTTGTTTTGAACATGTCTTAAAAATCGACTTTAACAAGCATAATATTATTATGTTACATTATCGTATTGAACACGATCGTTGAAAGTTCGGTCTCAAAAATAATCGCAAAAACACAATTTCATGATAAAAATAATAATAATACAATAATGTTATTCAATCACAAATAATACTTTCACTCTTGATTTGAAAACATGTTTATGGAAAAAATATGTAAATGTTCGACTTACTCGTGATCTTCAGCAGCAACGATTTCGTCTTGATACTCATCGGAGTTTGGAACTACTCGACGTGGTATCGTGTCTTCCGAACTGCACACCGTCACCGTGAAGATACAACCGATCAACAAACCATGCCAAAATTGTTCCTAACACGCAATAACATCGGATTACAGAAATATAATTGTTTTAATAAAATTGACATTTATTATTTCATAATTATAATTAACACGCTGATACGATGACGAGTGACGACATCTTCAAATTGTTAAATTTCCGTAAAATTGAAACCGCGGTGTAACATTGTGTACATTATAACATTTAGAACTATATATTCAGCAAACAGATTCATGTTGTTGCTGAATCTCACAATAAAATGTGGTGGGATACAGATTTAATGGAAACGGTAAGGCGTCAATTATTTGTAATTATTATACGCGAAACCAAAAAACCGTTTGATAACGAAGTGTTTGGATCTAGGAAATGACCGTCGTTAGCAATAATATTACTCGATATAGTTTAACACCAAAATAAATGTGTTCCATAACGATAATAATATTGCGTAATACAATATATGTATTTAAGTAATTCCTATTAGGAAATTATTGTAATAATTCGCTATAAACTACGTCGAAGTGCGAGAACACACACAATTCGTGTAATCATATCGATGTATATACATCGAATTATTACAATTTTAATATTAGCAATAACGTAACTGCTGACGATCTGAAACAAAATGTTGTGACCATACCACGTGCACATTGTGAAAAAATAAGTAAAAAAAAAACCCCAACGAATATTTTTCGATTTCTAAACGTTATAATCGGACCGCCTCGAGAATTGAAGGGAAAAACTATAGGCCTTATAGGTACATACTATGTATAATCGTGCATTAAGATATTATTTTGTACAAGGAACACGTGCCAGGCATTTTATGCACGTTCACCCTGGATCCGATTTCGACACATTTGTTAGGACGATTGAAGGAAAAAAACTAACCGTGGATAATCAACAAAGTGATTATAGGTCCAGCGTTCCGGTTCCTAACCAAACCCCGCGGAAAACTAATATAAGTTCGCAAACCGAATTCAACGACAACATCAAATGTGTGTAATCACCGCTGTCGTAGGAAATAAAATTATGTCATAACAAGTTTGTTTTATTTTTATCGTATGAAATAAATTAAGAAGACAACAATAATCATATTGAGTACTAAACTGAACAGTATTTCGACAAATGATGACAGCGTGAAACATTGATAATAAAACTATCGTAATATATGTTTAGAACGATTCCACATATTTGTCCGAAAGTATTTTCTTGAAAAGTTCTTTGTACGTTATCTATCCTCCGCTCTTATATAGAAAATAAGTTTTAATTTTTGGGTGTTAACACGTCTATGCGTATGTTATACTTTATTCAATTATGAATAGCCATTGGTACTTTATTTGTCATGGTACTTTTGTGATGTTAAATATTACAAATAAGAAAACTGCTGCTTATTCAAATAATAATACAATAACAGATAAAAAAAAAAAAATAGAAATGAATACAATTATTAGAGAAATATTGATATAAAATAAATAAAATTAATTTAGGATAAAAGGTGCCTACAGCTTAAAGGAATGAAAAATTAACTTTACCATAATAGCAATCTATTTAGGAACTTTATTTTTAAAGTTACTTTACACGATCAACTAATGAGTTTAACACGAGTAGATCGGCTATTGATGCATACTCATGTGGTGAGATACGACGAGAAAGATATCCGGATAAATGGTGAATTTAGAGCTGCAGAAAATCACTTTGGGAAATAGATTTTTTAATTCTAATCAAAATAAATTACAAAAAGTAACTTAAAAAAATCATCATAATCAGTGCTTACATATTTAGAATCCTTAACCAAAATAAATGTTTATTTATGTAATTATGTAACGTGTTTTGTATTTGCTTCCTAACTTATCTAAAAAATTTTAAATTAAATAGTGAATTATAATTTACAATAACAACACAAATAACAAAATATAAAATGCATTTTTCTTTTTGTTTTCCTGCAGATCATATAAAACAATAATGGTTAATAATATTTATAGGATGAACTCTTTTACTCATACATAAATATACCTCGATGCATATTAATAATTATATTATTATTAATGCTAATAATTTGTCTATAACTTTAAAAAAGTGGAATTTACATTTGTACCCTTATGTTAGGTTCATAAAATATTGTTAATTATTATCGGTAACTTAACCTGCGTACCTTCAACAGGTATCAGAATATATAATATCCATGTTATACTACTCACACAGTCACGCATAATATTGAAATACCATGTGTCTAGAAACTAGAAAGTATTTAAATCTTAAGCATGTGGTGCAGGTAACGTATGACGATAACGTTCAACGATCAATAGATAACCGTGACACTATTAACCTCGACTACCGAAGTATACACACATCAAAGGCGATTTTTTCCTCTAGACTCGATTCGATCGTTCCGACGATGATCAATCGTGCAACCATTAATACTTAAATAATAATATTACATTAAATAGGTTTTGTATATAGAAATATCGCCGGGATTATCCTTTCGTCCGGCACGTTATACGCGAAAATCACGATTCTCATTTTATAATTATTTTTATGTGCATTATGAAAGTGATAAAGGTGGCATAGACGGTAGACACGAATATTGTATGGATTATAAAGATGTATCACTCATCGTTTAAAAATATTGGTACTTACAAAATTGTATATTACATCCAGAGAAATCGACCCCTGAACCTACTATACTATGATTTATTTATATAAATCAATATAATATAATATTATAATAATACATGTATACTTTACCATTGTATGCGTTTGTATCAACTATAAAGCATATACGATGTCGTGGTCTTCAAGGTATTATTTACTATACTATTAACAGTATGGTTTTATACGCACATATATATTATGTACTTATAGGTAAGCTATAAATACATTATTCAAAATACATTTCATCTGACGACGACGCACTATGTGCGTACGGCATTATTACTGTAAAACCAATAAAAATCACAATTATAACGAAAATAAAAAACACCACCGAATTAAGTAGGTGTATATTATTTGTATATTGTTAAACAGTTACACACTAGTATCACGATATAATGTAAATTAATATATTATAATTTATATTCTATTTTATACGCGTGTTTAGGTCCAACCGAACGGGTAGAATACATGTGACCCGAAGTAGCCGGTGTTTTCACTTTTAATCGCGATGGTGGTTTTCGCTATTAACGTTATTCGGCGGGGGGAAACGCGCGCGCTATCAGCGGGAATTTTCCCGCAAAACCGTCTTGGAAAAACGGTTGCGCAAACACCGCGAAAAATCGTAAACACTGCCACGGCAGCGCATTGTTGATCGCAACGTGTTATGATATTTTTATAATATATACATGCATGTAGTATGTGTACCTGTAACAGAAAATGCCAAGAGACAGGGACCGAAATGTTTACCAAAAATCATTTGAGATGATGTAGGACTTTTATCTTAAATTATTTTCTGACGAAATATTCGGGATTCGTTATTCAATGAACACTGCAAGACATAACTTATAATTTATTTTTAAATGACTTTTACGTAAAAAGTTTTCTTGTAGGTACAGCGAAAATTAAGTCATTTTTGAAGCTGTATAATATATTATTATTATTATTATTATTATTATTATTACTTTACTTTACTACCTATAATATAATACAGTTTTTGTCACATAAAATATTATAGTCATCAAAAACGATTAGGTTATTTGAATTTTTGTTAAGTCGTATATATAAATATTATAATCATAAAAACTTTGTATTAATAAGTAAAGATAATATTATCATGACATTTTTGTTAATATGTTAGTTATTTGGTATCAAATATTTGTCTAAAATATTTTTTGTTGTTAAACCAAATTTAAACCATTCATGACTAAAAAAATATTGTATTTCGAATCACTGGAGTATAAGTGGAGATCGTGGGAAATATTATTCTTGTTCAATAATCTATTAGATAGAAAAAATATAATAAAACATTTAGCGTTTAATTATTATGACGTAATAGTGTAATATATATAGTCAAGTACTAAGTAAATAAGTACTTATTTATAATATTTTTTCTTTTTTTTAAATTTTTTCAGAAAACTAGCCTCTTCGATTTGCTCCAACCGTCTGCTAGTCATTTATAATTAAAAACTTATATCTACACGCAATCGTAAAGTCGTAAAAAAAAAGAATTTAATATTTTTTTAATTACAATAAAATAATGAAAATCATCATTTATCTCATAAATATAAAATTACATCAAAATTTTATTTTAAAATTAGTAGTCATTAAAATATTATGTGGTTTACACATAAACTTTTCTTTTTTTATTATTGTGATGAAAACTTATTAGGAACCTTGTATTACATTTTCAGGCATTTTTACTTACAAAAAACATTTTATTATATATAAATCTAATAAAAAATGAAAAAGGCCAAATAAAATGTTTTTAATGGGTTAAAAAAAACACCAAAGTATTTTTAAATTTATAATATAATTATTTGATGATAAATTTATGCCTAAAGTTAATCATTTTCGAATTATAACCAAAAAAAGAAAATCGATTTTGTCAATAATTTATAAATATAATAAATCATCGTCGAGATCTATATTTAAAAAAAATACTAATATATATATATAGTATTATCTTAATTATTATCTGTATTAATCTTATTTTGAACAAACTTATTGTAATATATTAACTGCTTATCATAAAAAAAAAAAAAAAATATTTAAAAAAAAAACTTAAGAATCAGTGTATGTAGAAATATCGTCCACTCTATTTACATATTAGGTGTGCGATAGTTCCTTAGTATATTGTACTTACTACATCACTAACTAATAAATTATATTATCCGACTCCGGTGTTCCGGAACAAATACGCTGCAGATATGTTTATTTTTTGGTGCTGTCAAAAAAAATTGTCATTGATTTGCTTAAATAAAATATGCATAACAATAATAATAATAATAATATTTATTCGAGTAGTCAGGTATTCAGGTATACATGACACAACATAATACCTATATATACCTATATTATTGAATTTTCGTTATCATACATATAATATATGTGTACCTACTATTACTTTTAGTATATAGTGTACAATTTACTATCTATATAGGTGTTTCTTTACAAACGCGACGTGTGTCAAACAGTGTGTTATGAATTATGATTGCAGTCAAAATAAACGGAATAAATATCAAACTATTATTTTAGGATTACGTTGTTAACACACAACGGTATACCTTTATAATATAATACGCGATATTGTGGTGGTCCACGTGCCAATATAATATACAACCGTTTTTAGGTTACACACGCGTTAAACACAGCGGATCATTTCTCTCTTTCGATGCAATACAATACAATATAATGCGTGTGTGTAATGCGTTTGTGAGCAAATGTGCAGGCCACTATACGTGGATTATAGGATATTATACCTGCTTATACCTACATATGAGTCGCCGGTTGTTGGGCAATTTTGTTTTGATTTTTCACTTTACACACAGAAGCACCGATATTTATCAATATCATATCATAAGTATAAATTGTATGTACACCAAAGCTATTAACCTGTGTCAGTTGCAATGTCCTGTGTCAAGATTTATTAGGTATATGTATTTAATACTTAAATATTATTATACATAATGTTATCCGATATTCTTTAATAATTTACTCCGTAAATAGAACAATTTTGTTTGAAATCAGAAAATTTGTAATTAACATTTAAATTCCATTGCACTTTTATCTAAATTAACTGTGTATATACATATACATTACATATTATATTTATGTGGGTATTTATATATTAATGTTTTTGTTTTGTTAATAAATACTGACATTTAATTATTCTAATTTATACAACATAATATTATATTTTTGATATAAAAATTAAATTCCCCTCTTAAACCTGTTTATATAAAATATACACATATACTATTTAATGTTTAATACAGATATTACAATTAATATTTCACACTGCTTATATTTTATTACTCAGTGATTTACATAAATAATTTTCACTCAAATATATCGATAAATAATCATCATATTACATAAAAAAATAGTAAAAAATGGAATACATCATAATGCATATATTATATTAAAAATAAATACGCAATACGCATTACAAATTTATAGGTACCTATACTTTAAAAAATAATATGTAATATACTAATGATAAAATGGAATTTTATTTCCCGGTAGTATTAAGACACGTACATTACGAATATACTGTCTAATATAGTATACCCTATTATAAATTATAATATATTACATCATATGGCATAAATGGATGGATTAGAAATCAAAAGGTGTAATAAATAGTAATTTCTAGATCAAAATGCTAAAGGGATCCAAAGGATTTTAGCTAAGATAAAAATTGTATACCTGTTTTGTCTAATTTATCTATCATATTATACAAATATTTTAAGTTTGAAAATTTCTTATAGGTATTTTATATTTTAAAATTTAAAAAAAAAACATAATTTTAATCTCAATAATAACCTATAATTTTCAAAAAAGGGCTCAATCAACAAAATACCAAGAAAAATTTTAAATTTTTAAACAAATAAACTTTGATGAGAAATATCTGTAATTAAACCGTATGTGATTTTTACTTTAGACTAATAATCATTGAAATTGAAGCCTTATCATAAAAAAAATGAATTAGCATATTAGTAAAATAATACTTTTTGGTTTGAAGAAAATTTAAAGGAAGTAGCTGTTACTTGAAATGTGTAAAAATCAGAATTAACACGATTTTTGATTTTGGTGGAAAGGAGTAATGCTTATTTTTATTACTAAAATAACTTATTTTTCAGGTGAAAATTTGAAGTAAAAAATGGTTCACTTCTCTTTCCTTTATCACATGACAATTACGACTCGATACAAAGTCTGTTTAAAATTACTATCCCAGACAAAACGTAAATATTGCGTTACTGAATAGACATTTTCTATGTATAATAAGTTAGCAATAATGTGTAGCGATCTACTTAAAATATTATAATTATTAAGGTATCGTATATGTATATCAGTATCACAATTTTTTTAAACATTATTTAGTTTTGTATGACTTACGAAAATAAGTCATTAAAACACTATTGTGAATCGTATGCTCAGTTTATTTTACTTCAATATAGACCACCGTTCTTTATTATAAAATATAAAAATATAATACACCAACACACTTTAAACATTGTAATATATTAGGCATAAACATTTAGTAGATATTAGATGTTTATATATAGTACATATTATTTTCTAGTCGCTGTCACTCGACCACGCTATGCACCATAATATTATGAATTTGTATTCTGTATTAAAGACACTAGATCTACATAGATATCTATTTTTATATCGTTTAGATTGTTGTGATTATTTTTTATTCACTAAAAATTGACGGCTACAAACAAATGATCTTGAGCCGTGACCAGAGTGTCTACCTATGTATATAATATAATAGCACTATAAAAGGTGTATACACGAAAATTCGAAACAATAACAACCGGAAAAACGACGTTTTAGTGTGATGAAAGTAAACGTGTTTACTGGTCAATTTGCAATTAAATAAGATTTACGCGTACAGCCGTATAAGCCGTATAAGCCGTAAACACTGACACGCACACTGCCCAAGACTTCGCAATATAGTATAGCAATAAATGCACATATAGGTAAAATATAAAAAAACACAAAATATACGAGTATACTGGATTATACATTTTAAATACATTTTTGTATTTATACATTAAGTAGGGTGAAAAAAAATGTATATAAGTACTCGGTGAACCCCATTCATAGTGGTAATTTTTTCTATTTTCAAAATTAACATTTATTTATTGAATAAGCAACTTTAGGTAGCCGGGTCTAGGAAAACCTTCTAATATTAATTCTATAATATTTTTTTAAGGTCTATTCAGTTATATTATGCTCATAAAATACTTTAATTTGTTTACAACCACTTCCCATACTTTTTGACGATTTACTGAATTGTATTTATTATTTAATATTTTTGGTTTATATAATTTTTTTATATTTATATTCACTTAAAAGAGTATTTTATTTAACATATGTTTTTGATAAATCTTTATAGATTGCAGCAGTCTATTTTTATTTTTATTTTTTTTACTGTAG